TATTATGCTTAATTTGCTATAGTTATTTATACTAATATAAAATAAATAATACAATTAAATATAAATATAACTAAATATATATACAAACATATATATACACATATAAATAGACCGTCGTGTTAAGTTAAATAGGTTTTAGAGTTGGGCTAAGTGTGGCCTATTTAGGTAAACGCGCTTTTCGAAAAACCCAAGCCTACTTTGATTATTAAACAGGCCAGGTCAGGCCTTAAGTAGGCCAGACCACAGGACCCTGACAGGCCGTCTGGCCTATTCCCACCCCTATCTCCAAGTGTTCCTGATGCAGAGCAGCGAACGGTGTTTCCTCCGGCGTCTAGGAGAGTACCCTAATTAACGATGATGCCACTATCTGAAACCAACCCGCGTAATACTTAACCCTAAACACATATTTTTAGCCCATCCATTAAGAGCATATAATCGTTTCCATCGGTTCGTCCCCCCCCCCCCCCCCCCATTTCTCCTTATATCTCAGATTCCTATTGATGGTTCAGTAAATATAAATAAGGTACGCTTTTCTTTTAATATCTTCTCATGGATATGACTTAGGTTTCTTTGTTGATTATATATTGTACTCATTAGTATCAGGAACTTTTGTATTTCATGATACTGATACACTCTGTAGAGAATTATATTCACGAGCGCCATAGATCAAGGTAATCTTTTATTTGAGTCTTAGTAGTTTTTATAATTTGATAACTTGTCATATGTACATTTGCGCTTCATAGACACATAACTGGCTTGGATAATCGATATATGACTCTGTCATTTTATTGAACTTAAAAAGACATAGAGCTTCAGATGTAAGAAGCTTTCTATACAATTGTGAGGTAATACTTTTTATTTTCCTTATTTTTAGATTTATAAAAGATCAAAGAGATGAAGATGGATGGAGAATGACGATAATGATCCTTTGTTTCCCCCCTTTTGGTGATAAAGTATTTTTTAATCATAATCTACAAGTTTACGCAAAGAATTGTTTTAGTATGAAAATGAAGAACTACCTATTCATAAATTTGCGACTATTTTTTACTGGAAGCGTTTAGTTTTATGTTTTTTATGAAATGGAAATCTTGTTGTTTCCCAATAGCTGGGCAATAATGATTTATTTTCACATGTGTCCCTTGTTTTTTGTAGAACTCTATTGATAAACCTTATTGTGGTTCACATTGACTTTTATCTATGATTGTTTTATTGATGTTAACTTCTTTAGTATAATGCTACATATGTAAAAAACTTCTTAAATTATGTGTAGTAACACTTTATATTAAAGTAACACTTATATCCAAATGTAACATCTTAATCGTATGTAACAATTTTTCATTCAAATGTAACACTTTTATGTTGTGGATATGTAGTGCTATGCTAGGAACCATAAAGTGTTAATTACCATAGGTCAAATGCAATGCAAGCAGATGTAATTGGCAAAAAGTGTTACACTTTTCTTAAATGTAACACTTTGCGATACTATTGTAATATTTTTAGGTCTTACACTAGAGGTTGAAATGTAGTTGATAAAACTCTCACATTGCCGCTGCCAAGAATTGAACTTGAGACATCAACCTAAATACCTCACTCAACAATTATTGAGCCTACTGCTACACGTGCAGTGAGACAACCGATTTCAGGTGACCCGAGCCAAAACCCGACAGCGAAATGGATCCCCAACACAGTCTAGCTATGAATCATTGAATGTTCATCGATGCGTGAGCATGCAGTGCTCACAACTCTCATGTCTGTCATGGCCACCCGGTCTATTTTCAACTGAACCCAACTTTCTCAATATACGTAGACACGTAGTATATGTACTCCGTGATACTCCGTATATATTTACTAATTGTGTGTCCTATTTGATAAGTTATTGTACTACTACGTATATTGTATACTTTTTTATCACATCTCAATCGTTAGGCAGATTTGATGTTTTAATAATCTCATAAATTCGTTATATTCTCTTTTAGTTCTCTAATTTGACTTTGATTTCCCTGGAAAATGTCATGGAATAAGGAAGAGGGCTTGGACTTATTAGCTGACAGAGTCATTTTATTGACAGTCATATATCTATAATTTATAGTTTTTTATTAGCTGACAGAGTCATATATATATCGATTCCTTATATGCAGATAAGGAGCAAGCTAGCCATATTATTCAACTAGTCTACCACATCAGAATTAGTTAGCTAGCAGTTGTTTAGCTATAAAAAACTAGGGATATGTTTACTTCATTTCTTAGTAAACGGTGTTTAGAAGCCTTGCCTTAGTAAACCTTTGTTTAGTAAGCAGTGTTTAGTAAGCAGTGTTTACTTCGTATAAAATTCAAGCCTGATTAATCAAAAGTCCGTTTAATTTCACTGGGCTTCAAACATGTCTTATGTATAAAATGTCAAAAATACCCCCAATCCCCCAATAGGATAAATAACCTAGCCCGTTATATTGGATGACTATCTCCGGGCATTTCAAGCGCTTCTCGAAGCTGAGTGTCGTCTACCTCCAGATTGACGATCAGGCATATGCTTTCTTCTTCCATTTTTTCTCTCCATCTATTAATATTTATTAAGGTAATATTTTCTTCTTACTCCGCTGCATCTATCTTCTCCATTTCCCGTTATTATATATATACTACTTCCTCCGTTCTATAATTCTTGCAACATTGTGATTTTACACTATTCACAGATCTTACTTTGACCATGATTTTCTACTAATATACATAATCAAATTATTACGTATAAAATGTTATTGAACTCTTATCAATGTGAATTTTCAAAATATCAACTTTTTATAATGTTTACTAATACATAATTAAATATAATTACAGTCAAAGTTGTGCATTGGCAAACGTGAAAGTCAAACTGTTGCAAGAATTATAGAACGGAGGATAGTATATGCTATTATTTCATGGGGATTTTCCAAATCCCTAATTCTTATGTGGATTCTATTGCTCAAGTATTCCGAAACTGGTGGATCAATGCGGGTTCTAAGGGGATTATTGATACTTTCAAACACAATATGGCAGGCATCATTTGTTGGCAAATTTGGAAGATCTACACCAATATAATTTGGGGGAATGGAGACTTTCCTTGTACTACTGAACACATCATCTTCCAAACTAAGTTGTACACCCAACGGTGGGCCCTCAGTTTTCCAGCACAGAAATATCGCTCAGTGGACTTGTTTCTTAAGGAGGAACATCTGGTTCCCTATAATTTTAAAGCTAAAGGAACTCAGATACGAATCATTCGATGGGAGAAACCTAGAAGCGGGTTGAAAATGAATATAGATGCAGGCTACTTAGCTGGGGTTGCGACTGGTGGAGCGATTATTCGGAACCAAAAAGGGGAGTTTATTATTGCAACGAGCTTCCCGGTGGTAGCTGCGTCTCTGATTGAAGCCGAACTCCAGGCTCTCATGACTGCGATAAAATGGGCTGCGGATGAACATTTTGTTGACCTTCAGGTGGAATCTGATTCTTACATTGCTATTGACATGCTGCGTAAGGAAGAGGGTAGACGATGGATAATACCTATTCAGGAAAGTAGGCTGATTGCTGATAAGAGTGGAATGGTCCTTGAACATGTCACACGCAATAGCAACTGGGCGGCCCATTACTTAGCTGCAGAACACTTGGGCCCATCTTCCAAATTGTTTAACGGGCCAACTTCCTTACCTATCCGCGCTAGAAGAGCCTATTATATGGATAAGTTTGGGATTCCTTCGATTAAATTTTAGTTTCTGGTATTATTGTACACCATCTTGGGTAAGGTATAGTCCCCCCATCTTGGTTTTTTGGTTTTTCTTGTGACCTTTGTTGTGCTTAAGAGGTTCTGGTCTAGTCCCCCTCTTTTTGTATCTCTCTCTTCTTAATAAAATCCTAGTAAATGTCCCTGGCATTTACTCCACTGATTTTGGTGGTTGACTTTCCGGGGTAAAAAAAAAAAGATATTACGTATATAAGTTATAATTAGCAAGTGGATATAGATAAGATTGAACACGCTTGTTCTATAGATAATAATACTCCTTTCATCTTTATAATACTCTGTAAAAAACTTCTGATATAACCAACAACCCATACTCTTCTTTTTAAATCCAATAAACTGCTACACACGTAAGCTATCTTAATTGGCAACTTTGATATGTATGGGTGTGGCTCGTTGATTATTGATAATTTTTAGTTAGGGTTAATTAAACCAGAACAACAAAATAATAATTTACATGTTTCAATTATTAGTATCAAATAATAACCGCATATAATATTGCTTTATGTATTAGAATGGAAGGAACTCAGGGAAGTGGAACATCACAACCTAATTATGTAATGTGGCGTAATGCATCCAATCCAAAGCATATCTTAGAGAGGAAGTCACAAAATTGGTGGTTCAATGCTCAATCATGTCTTATGAATACCATATTTTGGATGTTTGTTGTATTACTCACAACTCACAAGGCATAGGCGAGCACAAAGTATTCGTTACATAATAGACAATCATTCTAAGAGGCGGGGGTATTTTCAAAGATTAGTACATGGACCTGAAGCGAATTGCATTTCGCAATTGCGAATGAGTCGTGCTGCATTTTTCAAATTGTGTGATATGTTGGTTGTAAGGGGTGGGTTGAGACCCACGATACATATGATAGTAGAAGAACAAGTAGTTATTTCCCTACTTGTATTATTGCATCATCACAAAAATAGAACATTAATTACTGAATTTCAAAGATCGGGGAGAACGATAAGTAGATGCTTTGCTAGGGTATTACATGTTATACTAAAACTTCATTATGTTTTGTATGCTAAGCCTCAACCAGTTACAATGGAATGCAATGATGACCGATGAAGTATATTTCAGGTTCTTATCTTAGTTGTTATATTGAATTTAATGTATGTAACTAGTCATTTGATATATGTTTTTAATATTTACCACTATAATGTTGCAGAATTGTGTGGGTGCACTAGATGGAACTTATATTGATGTGCATGTATCACCAAGTGATCATAATCGTTTTCGTTCTCGAAAAGGAATTGAATGATTGCTACAAATGTACTTGGTGTGTGCAATACACAAATGCAATTCATCTATGTGTCTCCTGGGTGGGAGGGATCAGTCGCAGATGGTAGAGTTTTGCGAGATGCTCTCACAAGAAGGTTTCGAGTTCCACAAGGTATAATTCTATGTATATTATAATATATAATACAGTAAACATTCATACTTAAATGTAGTACTTATTATTAATATTATTAATAATAGTTGTAACAAAATGTAGTAAATTTATCTTGATTATACAGGATGTTACTACTTGGTTGATGGGGGATATGGTAACTGTGAAGGATTTCTTGCGCCATATAGAGGACAAATGTATCATTTGTCTGAATGGCAAAACAATCGTCAACCCCATAACGCGCGTGAGTATTTTAATATGAAGCTTTCACAAGCTAGGAATGTGATCGAACGTGGATTTGGATTACTTAAGAATCGATGGGCCATTTTACGGAGTGGATCGTGGTATTCTATACGTGTGACCTGTAAGATAATAATGACATGTGCCCTATTACATAACTTCATTCGACGTGAACACGATATTGATCCAATGGAGGACAATGATATAGAAGAAGAGGAAGATGTCGATGAAGAAGAAGACGCAGAAGTCCACTGGGGTGGAGTTGATTTACGCCCTACTGAAGCATGGACTGCGTTTCGAGAAGATTTAGCAACAGAAATGTACACCGTTTGGCAATCATAAATACAATTTCGTCTCTCTGTTTATTTTCATAATATGTAATGTGACTGGAACTTACTATGAAGGCTTGCTTATCATTGTAATTCAAAAGTATTTTTAATATTTTTGGTTGTAAAATGTTCTAAATTATTGCTATAATAGAACAATGATGTTTGCAATTTAATATCAACATCCCTTCTGCTTCCTTTTCCGTTAGTGTGGATGATTTTTTTGTGAAATCGTGTTTGTATTTCAAGAGCTGCTTAGATAATATGGAATCAAGTCTTACACCAAAAGCACACATTATCTTCTTGGAAACCAAATAAAGCTATACCAGACTGACTGATTTTGTTCCTGGATATTATTAGGCCAAATACTTGGTTGTGTTTAAAGTGAAAAGAAGCCAAATATTGATGAGGTCTGCCTATTCACCTGGGTTGAATTTTTCTTTTATTAAGGCGCACCTTCCGGTATTTTTCTTTTAATTTTCCGGGCACTTTTGAAAATTGAAGTTACTTTTAACGGTCTTTTACAGACGTTTTTAACGGCGTGACCCTCTTGTGATAAAGGAATTCAAACACATGAACCACTTTGATAAAGAATGAAACACATGACCCTATCTGAAAACGGGCCCAACCACAAGTACATTTTCCATACTTTTCCCTATTTATCAAACATGTAGCTTTATTTTAGATATATTTTTTCTTAATTCACCATGCATATTCAACCAATTTAACTGTTGAAGCTAAAAATTTCCCAATTTAATTGAATTAGCAATTTTTAATTCCACCGAACGGCCTTCGAATTACCAGCAATTACATGAAGTAGATAATTGGAAGTAGAGAAATTTTGGAGGGAAATAAAAAGATAGTTTCAAACTTAACAAATTTGTTTACACAATGAGTTTTTTTTACAGAAATATTTCTAAAATAAAACTTATTTACAAAAGACTTACTAGTATTACACAAAAGTACAAAACAAATCCAAAGTTTAGGAGTATTGACCAAATTAGTCTATCGTATACATATATATCTAAAAGAAGTCATTGTTTAAAAACTCAAAACAAAATTATAATCCGTCTCATTTCATTTATAATTATTTAAAAACATAAATTGTTTTGAAGCCTAATTATCCTACGTCCATGTTACTTTGGCTTCTAACAATTGTTGATATTTCATAAATTGTTGTCATTGTAGATGTAGCCTATATACATGAGATATGAGAGAGAGAGAGATCGAATAGGGTTGATGCTCTGAACAGTTTTGGAGGAGTAATTGGTATATGATTTTCTTAAGAAAATAAATGAAATCAATAATGACACATTGACACAATGACCAAATCAATAATGCTTCTAAATGATAAATGTTTTTGAATAATTATGAATAAAATAAGACGGATCATAATTTTTTCTTGAGTATTTAAACGGATGCTTCTTTTAGATAAATATATATACGATAGACTAATATGGTCAATAACTCCTAACGTTGGATTTGTTTTGTGTAATAAGAATTTATGAAAATATGACTAATAGTTACTACAATTTCATGTCATGGTAACTTAAGTTTAAAAATTGAACGTAAGTTACTATGATTTCATTACTACTTTAGTCATTAGTCACATGTTTGTAAACAATCTTTATTTTAGTCATAAATATGTAATTATTTCTTATATAATTGTTTAAAATCCATTTATTTATAAATATCTATTATATACACTCCAAAAATCTGGATATATGCGAAAAAGAATTTTTATTTCAATTTTTCAATCCCTTTATACTTTTTTCCAATAATGATTGGTCCAAATACACGTCTATGATTTTTTTTAAAAAAAATTGCAACATTATTAACTTCATATTGGACAAATGTATATGACCTAGTTCGGACTTCCGAGAATTATTGTGAAAAGTGTTAGTTTGGTACATCAAGTTGTAAGCGGGGGAGTAAAGAGTATATCATTATGCGATTGGGATTCAGAGGTACATTAAATCACCAAAGCAGTGCTAATTTAGTCCATCGAGATATTAGGGCATTTAAAATGCCTAGGTGGCAGACGGATTACTGATATGGAAAAGCAACGCGGACCCGGTGATAGTTTAGCAGTTCTGCAAAATCCTAATTTCCCAAATTGAAGAAACAGGTTGTTCTAATTTGTGTGATAACATGAACATTCTCCTTCAATGGTATAGATTAACACTAAATTTGAAGTACTCAAAGGCGGTTTTGTACCATTTGCAAGCAATCATAAACCAGACGCTCAATCAAGACTTTGAGAATTGCGCTTTCGTGAAGAACGGCTCACCAATTCAAAGCACTTAAACCCCGAAGAAGAACGCCAATCTCAATTTTCCTCGTTTGTGGCCTTGAGTGACCTTAGCTGGACTAAGTGTTGAAGAAGGGGACAACGTATTACAATGTTGAAGAAGGGGACGACGTATTACATTAAGGAATTCAACAAGTTTTGCGATCAGAGAATGAGTTTTGTTATTACCGCTCTGAACTGGAACACGACATGGCCGGAGCAGCTTCTCCAGGCGCTCTTCATCTCCGCTAAGTGCATGGTTGCTACATCTGCTCATGTTCATTCTCCCAGCCATTGGTGATCCTTAGGGTTGAAGAAAACAGGCCTTTCGAAGCTCACTTCATGGAGGATGCTTTTGTGGATAGGCCGAGGTCACCGGGTCGGGTTAAGGTCATGGTCATGCCCAGGTCAGAGGTCACCTACTCAAGCTGACTTGGACGCCACTATTTACCATGCAAACGCCTAATACTTGTCAGTTGTCACCTAGGCGTTTTAAACTCGCTAATAGCCCGATGGACTAAATTAACACTGCTTTGACGATTTAATGTACCTCTGAATCCCAATTGCACAATGATGTACTCTTTACTCCCGCACTTACAATTTGATGTACTAAACTGACACTTTCCTTGTGAATTATTGGGTCGGAGTCAGGATGAATACTTTGATACTCGGCGAGCAAGCGAATCGGGTCTAGAACTACAATTCAGCTAACGAGTTCAGATCTGGAGCACTATGTTTCGGCTCATACCCGATTTATTGACGGGTCTATGTAAATGTGTACTCTCATATTCTCATGGGCTCCAAGGCTTTTAATTACACCACGATGAAACTGGGTGGAATGCTGGCCTAATAGCTGATCTGGGTGATTATGGCGGGTTTTCATTTATCGGCCGCCCCATGACTACACTTTCCACCCGTTTGTTGACTAGTCAACTTAAACTGTTTTTGCCTTTTTGGTGATGCTGGTCAACTTAAACTTGAAACTCCAAACTGAATGATAAACTCCCCATTTATGTGACGTTTTCGGCCTTAATAGTTTTCATTCCAATCTTGCATTTAAGAACTTCTATTCTATGTATGTACCCTCATCTATTATTTAACGAAAATTTTCCGTAAAAAACGAAAAATTTGATGTACATAGTACTAGTAAATGTGAAATTCACAAATTGAAATACATTTTCACTTAAACAAGAGTAGGTTAGTCACTTAGTGTCATCCTGATATTGCATATTTGCATTATCATATTTTGATATTACTAAACATTAATATGAGAGTATTAATGCTGATATCTTTTCCATAATGTTAGGTGAATGAGTTTGGTGTGGTTTTAAAAAAATTATAGGATAAATGATTGATTTACCATTCTAGCCTCCATAAAGTAAGAAAGAGACAAATGAATCTCCAAAAAATAAATAGTGTAATGATAGATATAAAGGGATAAAGTAGGAAAGTAAAAATTTGATGAGATTCAATTTAAGAAAGTATTCATATTATTGGAACTACTCCAAAAGGAAAGTGTATATCACAAAATGGAGAATGTCATTTATGATATTTTCAAAGTATTACATTAATGACTCCTTTAAGTGCAATTGTGCAAAAATATACTACCCATAGTTTGAAATTTCATGTTACTTTTATTTAGAGCAATTTGTGGGGGCGGAGCTAGGGGAGGCCAACCTAGACCCTGGTTCACCCTAAATTTAAAATATATATATATATTTAGTGTAAAAAAATTAGGATATTTTTTCCCCCAAAAAATCCATTGTACTGGCTCAGTGTGCTCTGCCCCTAGCAATTTGTATTTATGAAACTTGGTGAAAACAAAATTTTATATCCTAATTCTTTTTTTGGGTTTTTATTTGTGTTTTTATGTCTGAATTCTGAAACGCACCAAGTATGACTATGTTTAAAGTTAAATGATTTATATCTAATTTAATGAATTTATGTTCCTCATTAAGACAAAACTTAAAATTGAACTGAGCTGCAAATCTTTAATCGGAATGTCATAACAGGCTAAACTGCTAAAGGGTCGAATAGGCCCTCGAACTAACTTAAAAAGTGCAATTAACCTCTTGTATAGCATACTTTGTCCGGCCGTCGCGAATTGGGGCGGTTCCCGATGGAATTTTTTGATGAATTTTTTTTAGCATCTTCTTCATTAAGTCTAGCTTACCCATACCAAATTTCAAATAAAAATTCAACCGGAAAAACAGTCAAATGATTTTCGAAAATGTACTGCGCTATTTAACTGCGTAGCTATTTTCAAAAATTCATTTGACTGCCTTCCCGATTGATAATTAATTATAATCTTACTTATTTTGATTATTACACAATTTAAGCGCACTATATCAAAATTTACTCATCACCTCATCGGTGTCAAGAATTGTAAGATTAAGGATGTTTTCTTTTGAACTATTTTCAGTCCCAGACCAGCCAGACCAGACTAGATTAGACCAGACTAGACCAGACCAGATCAGACCAGACTAGACGAGACCAGACTAGACCAGACCAGACCAGACTAGACTTGACTTCCATAGTTATAATATACACATAGACCAGACGTTTACCAGACCAAACCAATTCAGACCAAACCAAACCAGATCATACCAGCAAATTTCAATCCAAAAGAAAACATCCTGATAAACTGAAATAAAAAGTTACTCTCAAATAAAAAACTGAAATAAAGAGTTACTCCGTACACCCTACTACCCTAGTTTCTATGTACGGAGTGCGATTTTTTCCTATGTTTAAAAAACCGACCCGGCCCGGCCGGGTTGATCC